CCTGCTGAAGGTCCCCACTTCAAGGCAATTAAACAATATCACAGCCCCTGCTTTTTTTTTTTTTTAAAGAAAGACATCTTTACAGAGAAACCGTCTGACATTTTTCCTAAAACAAAAAGACAAAGGACGCTTAAGTCATTTTTAACATACACCGTCCGAAAAAAATAGAGATTTTTGAGACGAGTTACAGTTTACATTGGTAAGTCCCCGTCACATACCTGCCAGGCAGAGCCCACAGCTCCGGTACCGCAGAACAAACCCTCGTCTGATACCTGCGGGAAAAATCGAGGGTCACCACCATGAGCAGCCTGAACGGCTCCGGGGGTGAATCCAGCCCAAACACCCCCTGGATGAAATCGGCCGCTGCAGGGTTGATGTTAATGCAACGCCATCGTTGACCTTAGAATGCTGCCGGTCTCAAGCGGAGAGGGGACACCGGACCACGGGGACCTGGTGCTGCTCTGCCCTGAGAGTTCTTGGCTCCCTCCAGCCTCTCGATGGGTTTTTCACCGGCTTTTTGCTCATCGGGAAGCACCACGCAGCATCGCAAACCGTGAGCACCCTCCTCCTCCGAGAACTGTGGGTCAACGCGGACCTCTGCATTTTGATCCACCCAAAAAAATAGCCATGCCAGATCTGCTGTGCTCGGAGGTCAGGAAGATTTATTCCAGCCTCAAAACACTTTTTATAAAGGGGAAAAAAAAAAAACCAACTCAAAACCCAGAAGGGCGGTGCAGTGAGCTGTTCTTTCTGCCTCCAGCAAACCCATTCTGCAGCCAGCCCTCCACTGCCACCCCGGCTAGTTCGGCAGCACCGGAGGCAGGCAGGGCCCTGCCAGCAAAGACCCTTTTCTGGGGGGGTGATGGCAGCACGGGGGGGGACACGGTTGTCTGTGCCGGGACTCTGGGTGACACTTACACCCACGCAGGCTCGGCACAAGGGGAAGGTGCCCAGTGACAACTCTCTGCCCCCAGCAAAGGCACCTGCATGCCAGCTGCAGCCAGCGTTACTCGCTTCCCCATCCCCGAGAAGATTTAAATTAAAAAAAACCAACCCAAATGTCCCTGAGTCGGGGGGGCTGCAGCAGCAAACATGAGCTGCATGGCGGGGGGGGGCTATAAAACCATCGCAGGGTGTCGGGGGACACGCAGCCACCCCACGACACGCGGGACGGATGCTTGCAGCAAGCCTGGAAAGGCGAGAGGAGAGCAGGCACCCATGGGTGGGGGTCCCCTTTCTCCCCCCCCCAAGCATCCCCATGCCGGCCGCAGGGCACCGCAGGAGGGACACGCGTGCCACCGGCCGCTCAGGGCCAGCGGATAAAAGCTGCTTTACGAGTTTTATGAGTCTGCGCCGAGCCGCTCCGCCGTGGCGGGGCCAAACGCGTACCTGCCTGCGTGCAGGAATAGCCGTGGCCTGAGCTGGATTCCGCCCGTCAAAGGGCGCATTCATAAAAGAAGAGGGAGGGGAGGGGGGAGGAAAGGGAGAGGAGGAAATGGGGAAAGAAAAGGAAAATTCCAGGTTGAAAACAGAGAAGGAAAATTCTCTTTGAAAGAAGGGCACAGCAAATTTGGCTGGCCCGCCTTAGGAATAACAAAACCCCCCCCAAGCTTTCACAACCAACAAATAACCCCTTTCCCTGCTAAAACATTCATACTCCTGAGCCCGTGTGATTTTTTAAGCCAGCCTTTCAACCAGAAGACTGGACTGTTTGAACAGTTCCTATGTTGCAAAGCTTTTGTTTGCCTTCTGGGTTTTGTTTTTGAGCCCTTGGGTTTGCCGTTTGTTTGCAGGGCGAAGCCGAGGTTGCACACGCAGCTCCTGCAGACTCCCCCGGGGGCCACATCCAGCCGGGTCAGGTTTGGTCAAGCTGCAGGTACGTGGCTGCCGATGGTTTGGGCTGCTCCAACAAGGGGTCCCGCCTGCTCCCCCCCCCTTTTCTCCCTAAAATATCTCGGGGAGAAGCAATTTTGCTCCCTTGCACTGATTTCTTATTGCTTCGGCCCCGGTGGGACGGCGTAGCGGGAATCTCGTGGCTCCCCACCGGCACTGGGATGGCTGATTTGTGATTTGTAGCCAAAATCTTGAAAAACCCCACTATTCCTCTGCCACCAAACGGTGCTGCCGAGCTCGGAGCCTGGGAGGCACCCTCTTCTCTCTGTCACTGCAGCGTTGTAGCTCTTGGACATATCTTTCTCTGGAAACGCTCCAGTGGGCTATTTGCCCCCTGCGGGGCTGTCGCAGGCGTGGGAAGGGGTTTTTCTTCCACCCCCAGCACCAGGCAGTGCCTCAAAGGTACATTTCCAACACTATTTATTTGGGCTGCCGAGCTTGAACTCTCCATTTCTCCCCAGCAGCTCTCTGAGCTCTCACCGACCCGATGGAGGTTCGGCTGCGGGGAACATCCCAGGGCAGACACCTGTAAAGCACCCCAATCCTATATTCACGCGAAGCGGAAAAACTTCTATTTGGGAAAGAAATAGAAGTTTTCTTCCCTTCAGTGCTATTTCTACAGGGATTTTTCTGGGCTGTCTTTCCGGGATCTCTCCAGCCTCTCCCGCACCGCTGCTCGCTCCCACCCCTCCGTGTGTTTTTTGGGATACGGCCGGGGTTGCAGACAGCTTTACAGCCCCTTAATATTCACCACCCCACAGTTATCCCAAGCATCCCCTAAAGCCGAGTGCTTTCTATACGCTCCGGCTGCCGTTATTAAACCGCAGAGCCGCACCCGGGGCAGCGTGTCCCCACTCCCACGGGGACAAAAACACCCTTAACCCTTTCTTTGCAAGGCAATAGGTGCCCCCCCCCACCCCGCTCCCACTCGGGACCCCCGTGGGTGGTTGCATCCCCTCACCTGCGGTGCGATGGGTCTTGGTGGTGGCTCCCAGACTGGGAATCCCTGGGGTAACTGGGTGGCCCTGGGCACGGCAGCAGGGACCCCGCCTGCTCGGGGCGGGGACGGGGCGGGGACCCTGGAGACTCGCCCACGGGGCTCGCGGAGCATCCCCCCCCCCACGTGTCCCCTCCCCACGCTGGGAAAGTCACGGGGAGCAGCAGAACATCTTTGTATTTCCCCTTTATTAAGCGGGGACACAGCCAAGGGGCAAAACTATACAGGGCAAAATTTGGGTTTTCTCATGTTTTATGTCTCGAGTGGGTCTATTTCCACGCCTCTGAGGTTTTCGTTTTCCTCCAAAGCTCAGTAAAACACAAATTTGCTCTTAAATTGTGAATGTTTACGGCTTCTTTCCGGAGATGGCCAAGAAAAAAAGCTGAAAAAGCCTTAGCTGTCAGACCGGCAGAGGATGGGCACTGGAAAGCTGTTAGCGGCAGCTACAATTTGAGCAAACGCAATTTTACTGCACGTTGAGGGTGAATCATCTCGGGTTTGTTCAACGGGCTTCACAGCTGAAAGCAATAGAAGAGAAAAAGGCATGTTTTCATGCTGAAATTCTGACCTGCTGCACGGTACTGCTGGGAGAAAGAGGGAAGGGAAGGGTGGGGAAAGGGAAGGGAAGGGAAGGGAAGGAGAAGAGAAGATTTTAGTTGGAAGGGACCTACAGTGATCATCTAGTCCAACTGCCTGACCACTTCAGGGCTGACCAAAGGTTATTAAGGGACACACACTTTAACTGGTGTCATTAAAGACATAGAAACTACTTCCTTAAGGCAGTGGCTGAACTAAACGGCTTAGCTGATACTGCAGCTGACACCAAAAAAAAGGCAAAAGCCTGTTGCATTTGGCATTAATGAATTTTATTATAACTTCTTCTAGTTCACCTCGACTTCTCTAAAAGATTGGGCTTTAAAAGAGGGCAGCCTCCTCTCTACTGGGGCACCACCCTGGATTTTAGCATCCTTCAGCTTTGTATAATACTTGTCACAGGGATTCAGACCGAACTTAAGCGTGCAAAAATGCTGTAGGCTGATGAGAGATGCCAGGGATGCCCATGGGAATGGGATGCTCCACTCGGGGAAATATTAAACAGGGAGTGCTGCTTCACTTGCACCCAAACCTCATGGCAGTAAATAGACACTGCGATATCTTTGGGGATGTTTTAGGGCAAAGGGACCTGGAGAGGAGTTAAACCAGTAATGTTGAAGGATCCCGGATACGTTGCATGAGTACCTGGAGCTTCCTGAACCTGTAACACAAGCAGAAGGAGATCACTGCTGTTCAGAAGAACTCTTCAAGTCCTTGCTCCAGCATCTGTCTAAAACACAGCCTTTCTGAGAGTACATTAATCAAGAGTTGCACATGTGCAGAGCACATGTTCATAAAGTTGATTAAAGTGACATGCACCAAGTGTTTTTAAGCACGTACTAGTGACTTTTGGCTTCCTTAGCTGGATAAGGCTGTATTAACTCGTTAGTGCACCGCTTTTTTCCCCTTCCTCCCTAAGACCACCTCAAATGTCTTTGGCAAGAAACATTTTCATGAAAAATTCGTATTGCTGTTTTCAGGATTTCACTCAAAGGCTCCAAACATTTACCAAAAAGGTTTGCCTGTTTTTTTCCAGTTCCAATGCCATAAGCTTTGTGCTTCCAGTTATGCAACAGATACACGGTGTTAAAAAAATGTTTGACCAAAAGTGAAAACACAAATCATAATCTGAAGCTAATTTCTTCGCTTAAATAAACCAAGCAGCAGCGAGGACGAGCGAGCATCCCCTCACCATTCACGGGGTGGGTGCTGAGAGCAATTTGCGTGCAAAGCTATGAAACATCCTCATTTCGCTTTGCTCCCCGTCATCTGAGTCATCCCGTCGTGACTCACGTCGTCGGACACGGAGGTACGGCGACTGCGGTGTTCAAGCTTTGCCTCCCGGGATGGAGAAAAGAGAGCAGCTGGGTTTACTGCCAGAGCACTAAGCAAGGCAAGGCAGCGCACGAACGCACCGGCTCTGCAGGAGACGTAAGTCAGAGCGGTCGCGTCTCTCGCTCGCAGCGTTGCGACGCCTTGTGATACGTGGCCTTGCAACCCAGGGCTGGCTGCTTTGCAAAAGTGGATTAAAAAAAAATAGTCATTTCTCAAAAGTAGGCATATACTTGGGGGTTTTTATTTTTTTTTTACAGCGTGGATAAGTATCCTGTTTGCTTTAGAGACTCTTAATGTAAAATGTAACCCTGCTTGGTACCATGTACAATTTAGAGTCCCGAATTGCAAACCCAAGGGGTGGGAGAGACGAGGGACCCAGGCAGGCGGCTCGGCCATCAGATCGCACCATTTCTTAGGGATCTACTCTCTGACGTGCCCTTCGCTGCAGCCAAACGTATTCTCTAAACACAATTTACTTTCCCCATTTTAAAATGCCCAGCATTTATCTGATAGCATGCAAGAGCCAAGTGATAAATAATGGCCATCCAGCAATCAGGCTAGAGATGAGCTAATTAGCTCAATTGACAACGGGCTCAGGGTCAGTGCAGGACTGGGAGTAACTCACCCACCAACTCTGGGTTCCCAGGACACTCAGGAACCATTACACTATACAGCAACATACGTTATTAAACCTTTTTCTCTAGCAATAACCTTTCACAGGCTGCTCTGCAATAGTTGCAAAGTGCCACCGTCTATTGAGCGCTGTTTACTGATGGGCTTGCCTGTCATCTCGTCACAGCGGTTTACCATTGGGTTAATTAACTACATACTATGGTAGTTTAAAAGAAGCCATTTAAGCTGAAGAACTGCACAAGACTGAGTAGATGATAGACAAAAAAAAAAAAAAAAGAAGGGAGACTGGACACTAGAAGCCAGGAGTAGAGGCGGTAGGTGAGCAGGGGGAGCAGCAGCCACTTCGTGCCACCACAGGGGCAGGGACTGGAGGAGGCTTGTTTCGAAGAACCTTGTGAAAAAAAAAAAAAACCAAACAACAACCCCCCCCCTATAATCTTTATACATAAAATGCATATATACACACATAAAAAAAATATATATATGATAATTTGCAATTACAACGCAGAATTATCAAGCCTTAACTTGGTCACAGTACCCTTTACTCTACACTGACTTATGTCAGGAGTT